TATATATATATTCCCCCAAACCACAATAAAAAGGATTTTCTTCCTCCCTGTTCTTCCTGCTGGTTCTGAGCTTTTAGCCTTCTCAGCATTTCTCAGTGGTTTTCATGAGCGCTATCATTATGGGCCCATTTCCTCAGGGTCAAACGTTCCCCTGCCTCCCAGCAGAAAACATACTCATCACCACACAGAGCACTAACAAAAAACATAAACTTAGACAAATTAGGTGCCAAAATTAAGGCAAACTACATTKTTTTCTTAAACATTTAAAACACGTTTTTCAATTTAGTCAGGATTAATCTGATCAGTTTATCATTCCTCCTCTTTATCTTTAGGTGTAGATGCAACAGTCTGTGTTAGGTCTGCTCCTATGTGTTTGTTTGTTTGTTTGTTTGTTTGTTTGTTTGTTTGTTTGTTTGTTTGTTGTTTTGCTCACCTCTGGGTTGACTTGGTTGTGCTCTCCGTGCGCCCTCAGCTCCCACACCACGGCCAGCAGCAGCAGCCTCAGCACGGACTTCAGCTCTGCTGCCATCACTTCACACTGAAAACAAGAGGTTCTCGCACAGATCGATGTCTCTGGGATTAAGTCTGCACCGCGTCCTGTGTTTGTTTGTTTTTTTTAAGCTTTTGTCAGAACATTATCTGCGTGGAGGAAGAAGAGAAAAGCGGGCTCCAGAGGAAGCAGGAATAGCGCGCCGCTGCGACTTCAAACTTTTTTTTAAACTAGAAATTGATCCAGTCTGTGCATTCTTCAAACGCCTTGGTGAAAATAAACTTGTTTAAAAGTAGCTGGAGGTTTTAAGAAGCTTGAGAAACTGCCTTTTTTAAGTCCAAACTCAGCTCCAGATGTAGACTTGTCGACTTTGTTTTTCTTTTTTCTTTTTTTAGGAAAAGCAGCTCAAACTCCTCCTGTCCTCCGGTCGGATTAAGTCGAGGTCTCCCTCTTTCTCTCCCTCCTGCAGACGTGGTGCTGTGTGTGACGGAAAGGACCGGCCTGTAAACCTCCCCCTTTATAAGATTTGCCCGCCTCTGAAAAGCCAGAACACATCTTGATGATGACCTAAATCGGATTTGGTTTGGTTTGAAAACCCAGAGTTTGAAACAATCTGCTGGATAGGCTAATTAGGAACATGACGCAGCTGGGACTAACTCTAAACTTAAAGAAGAAAACCTACAAGAATAGCTTCAGAAAAGCCTGATAATAGTTTTAATGTGTTCAACCAACATGTCTGAAAAACAAACATAAAGGTGATCCTGAACTATTGTTTAAAAGTTTACTTTAGTTGATTTATTTATATGAAATTCTAAATTATGGATGACCGACAGGACTGCACAAAGCTATTTTGTCTGCATACTTTATTCAACAAATATAAATATGTAACAAACAAATTTGTTGGACTTATTCCCATGTGACTCACGGACACTCACTTTTTTTGCAAGGGTGTAACTTTTGTAAAACTAGTCACCCCATGTTGCAGTTAAAATACATTTTAATGCTTTTAATTTCTTGTTTTTTTTTCTTGTATTTACTCAGCACCTTCCCCCATTTTTTTAGTGTGTTAGAGCAAATGATGCAATTTTATTGGTGGTGGGAGGGGAGGGGGTTATATTGATTGGATCAAATTATTGTGGGGGTCCTAAACTCGCCCCTGCAGGAAATAACTCCCATGACTTTTTGTCACTTTGACCCTGTTCCATCCATCCATCCATCCATCTATCCATCCATCCATCCATCCATCCATCCATCCATCCATCCAACCATTAATTCATCCATCCATCCATCCATCCATTAATTCATCCATCCATCCATTAATTCATCCATCCATCCATCCATCCATCCATCCATCCATTAATTCATCCATCCATATATCCATCCATCCATCCATCCATCCATCCATCCATCCATCCATCCATCCATCCATCCATCCATCCATCC